CCATATGATTTCACTTATATGTGGAATTAAAAAAAACAAGACAAACAAACAAACAAAAACAGACTCACAGAAACAGAGAACAAACAGATGACTGCCAAAGGGGAGGGGGTGTGGGAATGGGTGAAAAAGGTGAAGGGGAATAAGCGGAACAAACGTCCAGTTATAAAATAAATAAGTCACGGGGATGAGTCAATAATATTATAATAACTTCGTATGGTGACAGATGGTTACTAGACTTAGTATGATGATCATATCATAAGGTATATAAATGTCAAATCACTATGTTGTACACCTGAAACTAATTAATATTGTATGCCAACTATTCTTTAATAAAAATGTTTTTTTTTTAAAGTTACAACACACATTGCTTAAACCAGACTGACTGGTTTTTATCTACATGTGAAAGTACCATCATCTTTTCCCAAAAACATTAGTATTCTGAGTTCATCAATATGTGAAAGTTATGGGAAATATGCTACTGTAAATTGTGTGTCAAATTAATCCGGCCCTCCACAGCCCAGTGTGGCCTTTCCTCCTCTCAGAGATTTCCTACCACCAGACCAATAGCACTCACCAGTTCGGGGCCAGCACTCTCTGCCCTTCCTATGCCTCAGGACTCTCTGCACACAATGGACAGAGTCAGCTGACGCGTTGGGAGGGACGCCACAGGACTACGAAACAGTGGGGCAGGAGCTACTGGAATGTTCTGTTTGTTATACAGCTAAACAATAGCATAATTAAGTATGAGTGACAGAAATCAGATCCACTGAATGACTGCAGAAAGGCCACTAGAGGGGCTCTACGTCTCCCTAAAAAGCTGCATTTTTCTACAAATCTCAGAGCTCCCAACCCACTCAACTCTGCTAGGAATGCTCAGAAGTTTGCCCTGCACATGTGAGTGTCCATTCCTACACAAGGTCACTCATTTTCAGGACCTAGTCCCTCTTTCCTGAGCCTCCCCTTGTCTTCTAGGTTCCCCTGAGGAAGTCCTGTGCTTCTAGCTGAACTTCTTGTCTCCTATGGATTTAAACAATTTCTCCTCATGTGTCCTATGGATTTAAACCACAGCTGAGGGTGTTTTATTCACTATTCCACAAATATTCACCAAACACTGGATGTTCAGAGATGAAAGGCCTTGGTTCCTGTCTCTCACATAGCTTCCAGCACATTGGGAAGAACGACAGATATATAAACCAGTGGTTACCATGCATCTAGCCAGTGTCACAATAGACACACAAACCAAAGTCTCAGGAGGAGGCAGCATCTGAGGGGAGACAGGTGGTGGCAACAAGTTCATTCTTGGAGAGAACAGAACAGCATGCACACTGGCATGGTGGTGTGAGGGGACTTAAAAATAATTGGAGACCATTCAGAACTGTGCTGTCCAATATGGTAGCCACTAGCTACACGTGGCTATCACACACTCGAAGTGTGGCCAGTCTGAAAATTAGATGTGCTGTAAATGTAAAATACACACAAGATTTCAAAGACTTAGTATGAAAAGAAGAATGTAAAGTGTATTAATAATTCTGAATACTGATTACATGTTGAAATGATACTATTTTAGATGGCACTGGGATAAACAAAATATTAAAATTAACTTCTCTTTCTTTTTACTTTTAAAATGTGACTTCTAGAAAATTTTAAGTAACATATGGGGCTCATGTTAAATTTCTATTGGATAGCTCTGGTTAATATATAAAATTAGCAGGGCGGCTGGGTGGCTCAAATAGTTAGAGCGCAAGCTCTGAGCAACACGGTTGTCGGTTCGATTCCCACATGGGCCAATGAGCTATGCCCTCCGCAACTCGATTGAAGACAACTTGAGCTGAGCTGCCGGTGGGCGGACGGATGGCTCAGCTGGTTAGAGCTTGTGCTCTTAACAACAAGGTTGCTGGTTCAACTCCCACATGGGATGGTGGGCTGTGTCCCCTGCAATTAGATAGAAAATGGAGACTGCACTTGGAACTGAGCTGCGCCCTCCACAACTAAGACTGAAGAACAACAACTTGATTTGGAGCTGATGGGTCCTGGAAAAAAAATCACACTGTTGCCCAATAAAGTTAAAAAAAAAAAAAGTGAGAAGAGCGTACATATATATATAAAATTAGCTCTGGTTAGAGTATAAAATTCTAGGTTGAGAGTGACAAAAAAATAAATTAAAATTAAATAATAAAATAAAATAAAGGGCCTAGACATATAGAAGGAACCAGACTGCTCAAGCCTTGGACATCACACAGGGAAGTCACGAGGACCCAAGCAGGCCAGGAAGGAAATGTCAGATGTGCCCTTTAGAAAACTACTCGGGCAGTGGAGTGGACGCGAGCCCAGGGCAGGAAGAAAAATCAGAGTCAGGAAAACTCATGCAGGCAAAAATGAAAGTCAATAGTGACCAATCTGCCTTCTAACCTCCTGGGTCTGCTCTCAGGGGTCCTTAACCTCCCCTGTGCCACAGGCACCTGTAGCAGTCTGAAAAAGCCTATGGATTCTTTCTCAGGTCAATGTTTTTACCCATAGAAAATAAAATACCGGATTACAAAGGAAACCAGTGATTGAAATACAGGTATCACTTTAAAATCTGTGATACGGCAATATATGTGCTTCCTTATTGATGCTTTAAATAAGATGTAGCCTCAGGTCTAACAATTCCTGCACTTATGAAATATTCATGAACATGATTGATATTTCAAGCAGCCACTATCATGAGACACACCAGTATTTGTGCTTCATTAGTGGTGAAGCCAAAGCGGACTGCTAACCCTGCTGTGGTTTGGTTCCTACATTTACGCCTATACTCAAAGAAAATGCTAAATTTTGGTGAGTGGTTAGTGAGAATAAAATGTAATTTTTTCCCCACCAAGTCACAGACCACCTTAAATTCTACCCATGGGCCCCTCAGGAATCCATGGGTCCTGGGTTAGAAACCCCTATAAGATGTTCCTGGGCTTTCCTCACAAGTAAGAGTAGGTCCTTCTAAAATGGGACCATGCATTGTTCTGTACACCTGAAACTAACAATAAAAAAAAAAAACATTTATAAGCTTCAAAAAATAAAATAAAATAAAATAAATAAAAAGGCAATAAATAAATAAATAAATAAATAAATAAATAAATAAATAAATAAATAAAATGGGACCATGGAGGGCATATGCTAACAGTGGGACACTGTGTTACTTGTAGGGTTTATTTGCTCCCATCACCACATCTACAATAGCACATTGATAAGCCAGCGGCCACAATGGCTCAGAAGACGTTTTAATGGAAGACTACTCGGTTTCTTTGGGTTATGATTAGAACCCCTGTTTTTTCTCAGGAAGATCATGACCACAGGGGACGCAGAAAGAAAACCGTTTGCTCTTTAGTTCTCAGGTGAGTTCATTCTTCCATACAGGCAGAGTCTCCACTGTCACCCAAAGGAATTTAGTTAAAAAACAAAAACAGCAAAAAGACAAATACTGTATGGCTGTACTTATATGAGGTAGCCACAGCAGTCAAATTCATAGAAACAGAGTAGAATGGTAGTAACTGGGGGCTGGGGGAGAGTGGGGGAGGTAGTTATTTAATGGGTATAGAGTTTCAGATCTGCAAGATGAAAAAGTCCTGGAGCTCTGTTTCACAACAGTGTGAATATGCCTAACACTACTAAACTATACACTTATAATGGTTAAGATGGTATATTTTATATCATGGCTTTTTTTTTTTATCACAATAAACAATGGTTCAAATTGCAAAACAAACAGGACTCTCAGATCCTAATTCAACCACTAATGTCCCTGAACAGGACAGACCTGCTCTATCCAGTAGTACACAGTTTCTTTGGGCATAAAAAAAACATACAAAAAAAAAAATGAGTAAATACAGACCCAAGTGTTTTTTTTAAGTTTTTTTATATAACAACAGAGATCATCTTTATAGTTCTGGATATTAATTTATACAGACCAGGACAATCCACTAAGAGTAATAATAACAAACAATTGGCGTTAATTATGTGCTGGCACTAGTCTAAGCATTTTATAAATACTCACTGACTCACTGAGTCCTCCTAACAATCCAGTGGTGGAGGTCCTATTTTTATCTCCACTTTATAAGATAAGGAAACCCAGGGACAGAGAAGTAGTCAGTGACAGAGGCGGGATTCAAAACAGGCTTTTTGACTCCAGGCCCAGACCCTGAGCAGTGGAGGCAGAGACTAAGGTTTTTATCTCTGAGTTACAGTCCTGAGAATCTTACTGACTCATACACACTAAGTGAATCAGTCAGCAACCGTTTATTGAGCAATCATTATGATGGAATTGTGAGGAATTTATATCAGTTAGCAGTTCTGATGAAGCAAGATCTTCCTCTCTGCTTTCTTTTTTAAAAAAAAAAAACTTGGTAAGGAGAAACTTGATAAGAAAAATTATTATGGGGTGGGGGAGGAGGAGGGTCTATTGTCACAGCAGGAAGAGGAACACTAAACAATAGGGAAAGTGCTCTAACCGTAAGGTCCCCAAGTGCCTCCCTCTACTAATCTTTGTAAAGAATCATTAAAGCAACTCCCCACCATTTGGAATTGGTGGTCACTGCCTAAGACAGTAACCCATGCTACTGCTGGTTATCTCTCGTGCCCAGGAAAGGTGGGAAAGGAGTGAATAAGAGACTGAAAATCCTGTCTGCAGACCAACAACAAATTTTAGGAACTGGTCTAAAACTAGTGAGGGAGGAAAATAGGGGAAGGCGCTAAAAATCACCAAAGAAAATAAAAGGGTTGGGGGTGAAGAGTAACTCTTCATGGCTCAATAACCATATTCTGCCAACTCAGGAAGAAGCAGCTGCATTTCTAAACATAACAGGCTGAGTGAGACTCAACTCCAGGCCACAAAGCCATTCTGGGGCAGATGTCATCAAAACCTGTGCTTCCTACACAATACTGGGAGGATGCTTGTGGGAAAACATGAGGGACTCAGGCCACCATTGGGTCGCTCCACATTTCCAGTATAGCAGGAGGTGGTCAGGACTCACCTGTAGGTGTATGGCCCCACTTCTTCTAGCCGAGGGATCTCCCCTCCGAGGATCTCCTCTGGGTTGGTGACATTGAAAAAATAGAACTGGGTGTACACTGGCAGAGGCGGCTGCTTCCAGGAGTCAAAGGTCTCAGAACCATTCCTTAGCACAATATTCTAGGGGAGAAAACCAAAAGGCGATTTACAAAGTGGGAGGCAGCTGGCTTTGAACACAGAGGCAGAGAGAAGGACACTCCCTACTCTGACCGCCTCCTGACTCAGTTATTTTTTTTTACAGGCATTCAACTGAACTCCCTTGAGAGCAAGGCCATGCCTTATGCCAATATGAAGCCCACCGCCCTGCTTAACCATTAAAGGGCTTCAAAAACATTGTGGTAAAGGAAGGATACTGGTGTGACTAAGGGCATTGATCTGTTTTTTAACAGCCACAATAGTTTATTTATAATTCACTCTTCATTAAGATATTTACAAGACAACCAATTTTACACATCAGAAATTGTATCAAAATTACAACACAGACAACAATATGAAATGGGCATAAAACAAAGCTGAAGTGGACAGACAAGCACTTTCTCTTTTTAATGAACACTAGCTTCAACTTTGTTAAAGAAAGTATCCAAAAGATCCTATTGGTTTTGTTACAAAGATTCCACTGATAGCAGAGCTGCTGTGGCAGTAGGGCTATTATTCCAAGAGACATGGTGCGTTCTCAGCTTGCCCGCACGAGGGAATAAGGAGATAGGCCCAGGAAGGCTAGCTGTGTGCCTCACTTGAGATATAACCACACCCATCCCTACACCTCCACCACCAGGCTTTACAAGCATTTTCTCATTCAACCCCCAGCAAACCTATAAACAGAGACACTTACCCCTGTTTTAACGATGAGGAAAGCTGAACCTCACTTGAGGTTAAATGCTTAGGGTATTCCTTGTCTACAATCCTTCCTTCGCGTTCCACCCTTACCATGTGTTATAATCTGAGTTGTGTCCCCCCCAAAATTTGTATCTTGAAGTCCTAACCCCTAGCACCTCAGCATGTGACTGTATTTGGAAATAGTCTTTAAAGAGCAATGTAAGCTTAAATGAGGTCATGAGGGTGGATTGTAATCCAATATGATTAATGTCCTTATAAGAAGAGGATATTAGGACACACACAGGAAAGAGCATGTGAAAACACAGAAAGAAGGCAGCCATCTGCAAGCCAAGGAGAGAGGCCTCAGAAGACATCAACCTTGCTCACACCTTGACCTCAGACTTCTAGTATCCAGAGCTATGACACAATCAGTTTCTGTTGTTCCAGTCACCCAGCCTGTGGCATTTGTTATGGCAGCCCTGGCAAACTCAAACTAACACACCATGGCCCTCCCATAAGAAGAGTATTCTTCCTACTCTACTGACTTTAGGCTTGGCCAAGTGACTTGACTTGGTCAACAGAATGTGGGTGGAATGCAAATGCCCCAATTTTAAGCTAAAGTCTTAAGAGGCATGGGAAGTTTCTACCAGCCACCCTCTGCCAAGAGAAGAACATGCCCCAGGTAGCTGTTGATCCTTCAGCCAATGCCTTATAATGGTGATGTGTGGACCAGATATGAAGCCTGAAGTTCAGCCTAGTTCAGCTAAGCTAGCCAGGCTCAAACGGCAGTCAGCCTGCACATTTGACTGAAATAAATGTTATTGCTACAAGCCATTGAGATTTGGGGGTTTGTTTGTTATCCAGCATTGCAATGGCAGCCTGAATAATAATACCATGGCCAAGGTTAATAGACAGAAACCTAATATCTAGTAGTCCTAACAGTCCTCAACTTGTTAATAGAAAAAAATTATATTCTTACAGTAAAAATTATTGACGTACACAAGAAATATAAAAGCACAGACTGCAAATTTTTTTACAAATGTGAATAGTGATTAACTCTGCATGTTGGAAATTTGTTATTTTCTCCTTAATGGGATTTTGTATTTTCCAAATTTTTATAATGAATAAAAAAATTAACATTGAGTACATTTTTTAAAAGAAAATCAAAGGAGGAAAATGGAATCTACTGATACAATATAAGGCCACTAGTGAAACACTAACTAGATTCCAAGAGAAGCATCCTCTGGTGTCAGCTGTCATTCCTCTCGCAGTGAGGATCTGAGTGACAATAAAAGGGACTGGCTTCAAAGCATGTTAAAAATCACATGCTAAACTGTGCCTTGAGTGCTCACTTCGGCAGCACATATACTAAAATTGGAATGATACAGAGAAGATTAGCATGGCCACTGCGCAAGAATGAGACACAAATTCATGAAGTGATCCATAAAAAATAAAATAAAATGTACCTTGACACAGCACACAACAGGATGTCAAGGTTTAGTAGTCCAGACCTCCAATTTAATAGAAGTAATGCTGCAAGGGATCTTAGTGCTTTATCGCTCTATTATTAAATGGGAAATATCCCAAGAATCTTTGCAGGAAAAAACAAAGTGGCTGTGGAATAAATGTATGCAGAAAACCTAAGCTTGTCAAAGTAAAGCTTGTCATCTGGAGGGCTGGGAGGAAATCCATGTCCACTAGTTGGCCATGTCAGAGAACTGGGCATTACTTGTGGTTTGATATCAGTTCAGAACTGATTTCTATCCAAACAGCACATGATTGAAACATTCTTGGGCTTTACTATCAGAACTGATTTACTGAGTTAAGATCAAACTGAAGAGACAGAAAAATGTAAAGACAAACCAATGCAATCCCTTCCGTCCAATTCTGGATCTAGCTCAGACTACGTCCTTGGTGAAGCTAACCCCTCCCTGTCCCAGCACTCCTGGACCTCTCTCTGCCCCAGTCAACAAGCAACCTAATCAATCACTTTCGGCAGTTTTTTTAAAGAACTTCCTGGTCTTTTTATTGTATCTCCTAAACAGGAGTCTTGGCTATCTGAGGAGGAGCAAGGGACAGAGTCAAGCCCAGCGAGTAAAAAAAACAGGACTGTGAAGGCCCTCGGGTAGACCAGATATAACTCAGAGGCCCAGGAAGGGGAAGGAACTGTGCTAGAGGTCACCTGGCTACTTAATGTCAGAGCTGGGTCGGGAACCCAGGGCAGCTTTTCTCCTCTCTCCCGCCCTACCTCACAACAGTTTAATAAAACGGGTATAAATACACCATGCCTTTTAGTTATATAAGTTATATGGTAGCGTTCCTCCACCATAAAGTATACTTACAGCACCAGAAATAACTCAGTAACATGAATTTAATCTACCTAAAGCTATGTTAACTATGAGAAAGATAACATATAAATAATAATTTGTCTTCTAGAGGATTCTGAAGGCCCACTGATATTTTAAAAGTTGTCTGATCTCATTAAAATAAGGACCTCTTTTTTTTGTCCATAAATTTCCAGGAAAGGGCAGGGTAATAAGTAGCCCCCCACCCCCACCCCTTTCAAATGAATGGGTCATCCCTTCCTTCCAACCTCGTAACACATTATATAGGAATTTCTTAGGGGAAAAAACTGGTCAGGACAGAAAACATTTTCTACAAATTTAACAGTAATCAACACAAAGCAGGTGATATTAGCAACTGAAAATAAAAAGGAAAGTGCAGCTACTCAACATGGTAACATTAGGATAACTGCTGTCTTCTCAAAACAGAAGGTGCTGACCTACAAATAAAGAGTAGAGTTTGTTTTCTTTCTTTCGTCTTGCCCACAGTGTCGGGAAAAATATCTATTCAATCAACAGAATATAGTACTAGAAAATTTACACACTCTCTTCCATTGACTTTGCTTAGAAGATGTTGGGAGAGAACTTGATATGAGGCTTTGAGAGAAGAAGAAAGCCATGAATGGTCAAACCCAAGGCCACAGGGCCAGGTTTTGTAACAGCAGCTCAACAGCGACAAATCCAAGTAGTCTTTAAAGGGTACCCAGAGGAAGTGAAGTGGCTGCTCACTGGTCATTTTAGTTACATTCAGATACAGGGAGAACAATAGCTCATTAGAATCACAGAAACACGCAGCTCTAACACCTATCAGTTTGTGCATCTTATCAGTAATCCAGCACCCTCAATCGCTAAGTGTGGCCAGTGCCTTTTGCGGTGGAAAGAAAAATCTGTGTCCTTCCATGATCCCTTTTACTAACAAATATCGGGGGTGCCAAAAAAATGTATACACATTTTAAGAGATGCTAACACTTTGGTCAATGTTGCTCAAGCAGTTTGCCATAATCAGAAGTGTATGGACACTGATGGTAACCACTTCGAGCACCTCTTGTAATTGCAGAAGTCAAATGTGACTTGTATTCATCTTTTGTTATCGGTATATATTAAGACAGTTTTTTCCTTTCTTAAACTGTGTATACATTTTTTTGGCACCCTCTGTATTTAAAGCAGTGCTATACCCATGGTTTTCTTGCAAAGTATAGAACCATGCATGTAAATCATGAAACACTACGTATGGACCTAGCATTGAGGAGATACTCAGCAACACAGATATGGTTTCTGTATTCTAGGAGCTTACCCCCTATTTAGGGGAATATTAATACACACGTGTAAGATCATCAACAACATAAAGTAGCATGTGATAAAATGGCCAAGAAGTATGTATGTATACCAGAAAACGGTCTCTATAGTGTTTAGACAATGGATTTTACAAACGGAGATAGAGAAAAGTGGTGCTTAAAGTGAGCCAGGAAGAATGAATAAAAACTTGGCAAGTAGAGGGAGGTCATGGGGTGCGTGCCTGGTGGACAGCCAGGGTTGTTGACTCAACTGTCCTGTCTGGCTGGACAGAGTGAGCCCTTCCTCCCTGCCTGCTCCATGTCCATCTTTCCTGGAGCCCTCCGCTTAATCGGACAGAAAGTGGCTGTGGAGAATGAGACAATAAAAGATGTCCCAGTGATGGGACAATGTTAGGTGTGACTGAGTATGAGTTTTATAGGGAGTAGGGAGATTTATTTAGAGAGGTAGGTTGTGGGGTGGGGGGGGGGGAGGTCACAGGATTCTAGATTTTATCCAATATACAACAGGGAGCCAAGGAAGGGTTTTGAGCTTCAGAACATTATCAAGAGCCAGCCAGTATGTTGTCGCTTTATCTTATCTAACCCACTTACTAGTCTGCAAGGTGAAAATCATCTTTCCAATTTTACATTTCAGACCAAAGCTCAAAAAGGTTAGGAGATTGTCTGA